ACACGCAAGGGTGCCGCACGACTTGGGCAAATCCAGCTAAGTCCGTGACAGTTCGTCGGAAGTTCTCTCGGAATTGACCGAGAAGTCCAGGAGCTTGCCAAAGAAGGTCGTCGGAACTCACCAAGAAGATCATCGTGAAGTCCAGGAGCTTGTCGGGAGTCCGCTGGAACATTACCGAGAGATCGTCGGAAGATCGCCAAAAGATCGCTGGAAGCTCACCGGAAGAAACTAGACTTACAGACTTGTTTAGCTTAGTAAATGTCTTAAAATTCATAGTTAGCACATAATTGGGATTGAAATTTGGGCCAGCCCAATTAGGGGCTAGTTGGGCCCATGTATGAACTATGTTGGGCCCAATGAAAAGGCCCAAACAATGACCCAAGAGGTGACACCGTCGTGGCACAGTCTCCGAGATAGTGTTAGGCGATGGTACCATTGATCTTAGTCTCCGAGAGGTTGTAGGCGGTGATATCGCCTAGTGGCAGGGTGCCAAGCGGTGGTACCGCCCAGTGCAGTGTCAGTGTCAGACTAACACTAGCGGTGGTACCACCCGTACCCAAGAAACTCGAGATGAGATATTTTTAGGCTCCAAGTTTGAATCAACTTGAGGCCTATAAATACCCCTCTCATCCCTGGTTAAATAAAACACAACTGAGAGCAAAAAAGAAAGAAAACTCTGTTGCAATTGTGTGTGAAACTCCTCTCAAAGTTCTAAGTGTTAGAATAGTTTGAGAGAGGAGTAAGTAGAGGTGTAAGAGTTATCTCCTAAATCCGGTAAAAGGAGAATCGAATTGTAAAAGGTGGTTGGTCTTCGCCTATTGAAGGAAGACCAATAGTGGATGCTGGTGGTCTCGAAGAAAGAGGAATCGGTGGAGTGGATGTAAGTCACAACGACCGAACCACTATAAAAATCTGGTTTACGTTTTGTCTTGAGCAATTTACTTTAACTGCAAACCACTTTACTTGCTTATTGCTTTCAATACATTTACAAACATGTTTTAAGTTAAGATCTTTACGAAACGATTTTCGTCGGAATCGGTTTCAACTGAAACGAAACGATTTGAATCCATAATTTAATCGCTGCACTAATTCACCCCCCCCTCCCTAGTGCCGACTCATTCCTAACACCTCATCCATCTAATATCCTAAAGACCATATACTGAGCATGGTGCTGTCAGACCTATATAATTTCTACTTGAGTCTCGCTCTAATCGGATTCTCCTGGATAACTCTTTCTCTTTCAATCCGAATGACTTTGGCTAGGGATTTGTCTGAGTAAGAACACATGGGATATTTCTCTCATAACATCAAGAGTGGATGATCCTCTATCGATAATCAATAGCCCTCGTAAAGTTGACTACCACTCTCGATGACCGATTGTACTAGATCTGGGACATCCAAATGTATAAGTTTGGTATCAAAGAATGAAGCACTCAGACAGAACATCCTTGGTGTCTCAAGTTTAAGGACCAGATACACCGCTGGGACTACGGAATCACTATCTGACAATAAGGTATTATCAACCATTCAACATTTCATAAGCGAATCAAATCAGTGAACTCATTCCCCAATGAGCACCTATATTATATCCCTAGTGTCCCCACACAAGCAGCTATGAGACCAGCTGTATCAATCATATGGACGAGTATACAACACACCAGTCAGTTCGGTCATCTCGATGTCCTTTTCGAGTAACCAATGATCAAGATTATTTAGGATTTGTGTTTAAAAGCGAATCGATCTCATTATCGTAATCTCATCACAATCCGATTCATATTGCACAAATCCAAGAACATCATAATATATATACATATATATATATATATATATATATATGCAATAGTCGATATAAAGTGATAAAATGTCAAAATATAATAAGCAAAAAGACTATGTGTCATGTCACATGTTTCATCACTCACGTGATTGGCTTGCAAAGCATATATGACTAACAAACATTAATCAGCAAAAGAAAAAAAAAAAACTCATATTATAATCATGATAACATATAAATAATGTCTTCATGTGAAAGATAAATATTATTTCATAATTTAAAATATATACATGTGAATAACCAAATGAATATCCAAGAACAATAATTAGATTTTTATTTATCACATTAAAAATGTAATCAATAATTCATATGAGAAAACTATAAAAGTAAATCATAATTTATATTTTTTAAAAAATTAAAAAATTAAATCTAATCAAATAATCAAAATATAATCATGATTAAATTCAATCATAATTATAATAAATCATATTTATTAATTTTATAATTGAGAATATAAATTAAAATTCTTAATTTTATAAGGGTAAAATTGTAAATATATTGATAGGACATATATTAGAATTATGAAATTTGTAAAGGGCAGAACTATAATTTGATAAAATCCTAGCCTCAAGGGTACAATTGTAAATATGTCAAAAACACTACTGCTTGCACCACAACAGCCTGCACGTGCAGCACTACCACTGCTTGCACGTGGTCGTTGTGATGGTTCCTGCCCACGCGTGGCCACTGCCTTGGTGGGGCTCTTGCCCACGCATGACTATCGCTTGGGCGCGACCTACCTGCACGCGGCTACCGTCGAGGCTGTTTGCCTTCTTGTAATCGTCGAATGGGTGCGGGTTATGCCCGCGTGCAGTTACCGCCTATTGCGCTATAGTGGGCACGCTGCCCAGCATGCTACCCAGCATAGCCTCTGTCGCCTATCGATTCGCTTGCTGTACAGCAAGGTCGACGATGACTATTTCTGCTTTGCGATCATTGGAGAATATGGATCATTCATACAACGTAAACAAAAATAATAGATCTAATATATCTGATCTCAAGAACCTAGGCTCTGATACCAATTGTTAGTATAAAATCTGTAATATGCTATATTAAATGTGAAAATGATCTTTTTATGCTATGATTGAAATCAAATATAATTAGATCTAGTTTTATGATGTATACCTTTTGTTGTCATCTAAAAAAGAGATCTCTATTTTGATTTGCAAAGACATCGTCTTTAGATCCAAGATCGCTGTCAATCTGCAAGAGAACTAGATAATTTTTCTCTCTTCCTATCCTTTCACAAGACCACATATATTAATGAGACTGTAATCTCTCAACTGAATCTTTTATGAGATGCGTAACCTCTCTTATTGTCCAGTCCCTAGAGGTCTTGTCTATTTATAAACGAGAACAGACGGTCTAGGATAAATAATTAGAAGAACTCCTCCCATCAAAATTATAACCTAAGGAATTCTACTTTAAATTAGACTTTTTTTTTATTTACCAATATATATCATCAAAATCTAATTAGTTATATTATATATATATATTATTTAATTATAAAAGATCACAAAATCTAACAGCATTCTCCCAATATAAGATGAGTTCTATATTCTCCTAAATTGGAAAAACCCATGTCACACTTCTAATAATCACAGATTAAATGATATCTCTCATCCATCCAAATGGGATGCATTCTTCCCGAGTGATATCTCTCACCCATATCATTCTCTCCCTTAGTACGAAGTCCAAGGCTTGTAGATCTTCGCCAATGACAGCTGGTATACCACCACCCCCAAGCCCAATGCCTTCGTCGTCAACATCGACAATACCTTCTTCATGGTGAAGCCCAAGCGAGCCTCCCTCCCACTACACTAATGCAGGCGAGTGCTCCAAAGCACTAACGAGCTGCTACATTACACGTAAGGATTGTTGAAACGGGAGATACAAGAGTTGTCTACACAAGGTGGCCGTGAGCATCAAGGTAGCACAAAAGTCGATGGCCTTCTTCCTATGCCCATCCATCGACAAGGTGGTGCGACCGTCAATCTACCCTAATGCATAACCCCAACCTCACATGGCTCGAGCTACTCGAGTTCACGCAAAAACATCATCGAGCTTACTGAAAGGATACACTCGACGCCTTGACGAGTTGGATTCTGCACACTCGAGTTCACGCAAAAGCATCATCATCGAGCTTAGTGAAGGTCTTGTTGGCCGTGCCCAGGATGAGACGAATAAATAACTCTGATTTGATCGGTCCAAATTAGAACTAGACTTTTTTTATCTGTTTTTGGGTGGTTCAATAAATTATCATTATACATATATCATTATGTTATAACGTCAAACTTCATTTTAAATGATTGACTACAGTCGAAATAAATCGATTTTACGAATAACGATTCAAATTCCATGGTAAAAATACCCCACAAGCTGCGTAGAACAACCACTACATTCTACAATGGGCCCGACTAGGCCCGCAAACAGGGTCATCTGGCCTAAACCAGTTTGGGTCGATTGAAATCCTTATTGAACCGATCCTAGTTTTTACTAAATCAACATATACTGGGCTCAGTTGCTGTTGAACGAGACACTAAACCGGCTCCAATTGCTACTGGACCAACATAAATTAGGCTTAATTTCTGCTGAACCCTATCGAACCGACTCTAGTTGCCACGGGTCCAACATTAAGCGGACTAAATTTCCACTGAACCGGAGGAACTCCAACGAACTAGCAAAATGTGGGCCCCATCTCTATTGAGCTAGACCGGATTGAACTGAACAAGCTTGAACCAGGTTGAAATCGGCTTGAACCGACTTGATTTGTCTGAATCGAGTCGAACCTGTCTGATTTCAGCCACCCAGTGGACCGCGTCAAGTTGCGCACGTCACGTGGTGGGTGGAGATGCGCTGCATACCTAGTCCAACCGACGCTCGCTAAACCGGACCCGAACTGGGTCTGACATGCCTAATTAGATTCGATCGGAATCCATTTTAGCCTATTTGGTTTGTGCCGGAATTCGCGCCCGTGTTGGGTCAAGACAAAATGTACCTTTCTCTTCTTGCAACTCTGATATCTGAGTTGTAAGCCCTAATTTTATTTGATTTAAATTTTTTGGGTTTAATTAGGAATAAATTTGCTCTTTAAGTAGGAATACACACACAAATATATATATATATATATATATATATATATATATATATTTATTGGGGGATACGAGGAGGGAAGAAGAAAAAAAGGCCGCGAGAGAATGGAGGACGGGCGGAGCGTGCTGGAGACGGGGCGGGCGGAGCGGTCGGTGTGGCTGATGAAGTGCCCGCCGCTGGTGTCGCGGTCGTGGAAGTCCGCCGCCGCCTCCGCCGACCCCTCCAACCCCAACCCCGCCGTCGGTAAGGTCGTCCTATCCCTCGACCCCCTTCGCCCCGACGATCCCTCCTCCCTACAGGTAATCTCCCTTCCCCCTCACCGCCTTCTCGTTCTTTTATTAGGTGTCTTGAATTTTGATGCTTCTTTCTGGAATGTTATGTGATGATCTCTTGCCCTCATGTCCTCGTCTCTGGAGCCGATCTTTCAGAATCGTTTTTAGTTTTCGTCTTCTATGTCGCCGAGAAGTTTGAACCCTCCCACTTGCTATCGATTTCAGACCGGCTTGTGAATGGCATGTCCCCTGGTAGGATTTAGGAGTAACAATGTGAAGAAGGGAGACGCATGTGATGGGCGCCTATTTTAAGATGTCGCTGTTGTATGGAACCCTAAACGAATCTTAAAACTTTTGTATGAGAAATCTTTCCTGGCCCGGGAATAAGGCTATTTAGGTATATATATAAAGGGTTCTAACGATGTTCCTGGTATCAATTGCTTGTTCTGTTACGATACTTGGTATATCTTGTTGAACTTATCGACTATTGGCTTTTACCTTTCTTCTTCAAGGCATGCCTTGGTTGGTGCAGAATTGTGTTTATTTTGATTGTGGTTTTTGTTTGTTTTGTTCCTGCAGGGTAACGATCTTGACGCATTTGGGAGTAGATAGTTATCACACTAACTCTTATAGTTTAAGGACAAATTAGACTTTGTTCTTTCTACGTGATTACTATATACACGACCCTCAATGTAATGCTAGAATTCTGAGAGGTATTTTTTACAGAAAGCCACTTTGTATTTGCTTAGGTTATTTTTTCCTTTTTTCTCTATGTATCATTCATCCTTCCTTGAGTTCTATGTTTCTATAACTCTGAGGCTGTGCAGTTGCGGCTTTTGGGAAGGAAACACTCGAGCTTGGTTGATTGCACCTACATCTGGCTGCATGTCTTAACTAAGAAATGATCGCTCGGATTGTGTTTTGGCATGACCTGGGTCACAAGGCCAGACACTCGGCTATTCTGTTGGCAGTTCTCAGATATATATATCCTTTTGACTATATCTCAGTATAGGTGATCTTGACACTCCAATTGAGTTCCAAATTAGATGTGGGAGGACAAATGAGTTGGTTTACAGGACTAGAGTAAGTCTATTACCATTAATTTGAACCTATGTCTTTTGGGCTAATGGTTCAGGCCCATCAAGTTAATGTGGGATATCCCATTGGACTGGTTTATGTACGTCAGTGTACTAAAAAATTATCAACAAATCCCCATGTCACGATACTCTCATTTCCTGTTTGGACTTCCATAGGCCTTTGTTAGTTATGAAATGCTCCGGAACAATCAATGGTATAGTAGCCATTCATCTTGATGTGTCTTATCCAGCTTAGCATTAATATTTGTTATGCAGGCTGAGCTGCTTATATTTAGTGCTTATATTTGTTTTCTGCATTCTCTAATTATTTGTTCTTTTTAATGGTTCTTTTTCACCATTGCCGAATCAGATTGGCAGTTGAACTGGCAGTACTTTTAAAGCTCATTAGACTTATGATTTTGGCCTACTAAAGTCCATAGCAGTGAGATCTACCTTTGGAGTAATACTATGCTTTTGAATTTGCAGTTTAAGATGGAAATGTCACAAACTGATTCTGCCAATACACCCAAGAGTTACACCCTGAATATGTTCAAAGACTTTGTCCCAATGTGTGTTGTTTCTGAATCTAACCAAGGTAAGGATATGCTAACTTGCCTTTGTTCGGGGGGTTCTAAAGCCAATAGTGTGCACTTTGATGGATTTTACATCACCAGTTAAACCCATCATGTACAGTCACCTAAGCTTTAGATAGACCTTAGGAACTATGCTATGCATGATTGAACCAGTATAACATATTTAAAACCATGTATATTATATGATAAGTATAATCATGTATAATACAAATATATGTATTTAATCTCTTTATATGTTGTTTGTTGAATAATAGCTATATGTACATACTTATACATATTAGTATGCTTCATTTCTAAGTCTGTAATCTTTGCTATTGCAATATTTTTTCAAGTATTTTTTGAATACATTTGTCACTGCTGTAAAGTTTCTGTTATAATATTCAACTGTTGGTTTTGGTTATAATATTTTTTATGTACTAATGATACAAAGCTGAGTGGCCTTTTTTAAAAAATTGTTACCTACTGTTCCACCAAGAAGCCTAGACAGCTTGTTTGTTAATCCCCTAAGGTAGCCAAGTTTGATCAAGAACTATGCAAACTGCCTAGCAGCGAAAAGCCCCCGCACATTTTCCTTCTATTGTGGTGGCAAGGCTGACTGGGCTATTTATTGCTAGTGTATTTGTCTAGAAAAAAAGATCTATTCCAATATTGTACATGCATTTTATTTTTCAAAATAATTGGGAGCATTTGGAATATGTTGATAGCTAACCTCTGCGGCATCATACTGTTATTTCTTATGTTCCTGAAATTCATTTTTAGGTAATGAATCAATTTGTTTTACAAAATAAATATTAGCATCATGCAGTTTACCTGCAACTTTTTTTGGTTTTACCATGTTTTGATTATGGTTACAAATATAGGAAACGATTGTTGTACTGCACGTCATGGTTGGCATTACTCAGATAACACCAACTCTTGCAGTCGATGCCACATATAGTTAGTTGGCATGTGTCGACTGGTGCAAGGACATGTTAAAAAGGATCCTTGATCTAGAATATTGGTACCGTTGATCATATGCTTTATAAGTCATTATACTCACTGAATAGATTCTTTTGCATTAGATAAATATTGCAGTTGTATAATATCTTGATAAAAAAATGCTAATGTAGGAAAATTTTCACTGGAGGGGAAGGTGGAACATAAATTTGACATGGAGCTTCACAGTGAGAATTTTAGTGACTATGGTAAATTATGTCGTGAAAGGACTAACAAAGCTATGATCAAAACTAGACAAGTGCAGGTTGTGTTTTTTTTTCCCCATTAATTTGTGTTCTATCTTTTGTGTGGTTCTAAATCTTTTTTTTATTGGTTTAAGGTAATTGACAAAGATCATGGAGTGCTTATGAGGCCTATGCCCGGTATGGTTGCTCTGGTTCCATCGGGTTCAAAGGTAAATGTTTCTCTTTGTTTTTGAACAGTCAAGATACATACATGTATATAATGTTTTATTCACCTTTTTATGTGTCAGATGTACATGTTTCTTATGTTTTTGTATTTCATGCTCATTTAAAAACACTTCATCGGTTACTTTTGGTGGCAGTTATTTTTCATTGGTGCGTACAGATAAGTGTGCACAATTTATTGCTACTTTCTCCAGCATCTCAATATTGGTAAAGCTTACTTGTGTCGGTGCCTGTATTTTCTATCTTTGCAAAGACTGTTGTTGCAAGAAAACATTGTAATTAATATTTTGCAGTGCTTGTTAGTAACAAAAGTGCTGGTCACTATTTACAACACTAGATATTCCATTTTAATTGATATTGTTATGCACCAGGACAAGAAGAAACTAACACCAACAAAAGGATCGGATGCAAAACGAACACGTAGGGACCGTCGTGAATTGGAGAATATTATCTTTAAGCTCTTTGAAAGGCAACAAAATTGGGCACTGAAGCAACTGGTCCAAGAGACTGATCAACCTGAGGTTTGTGCTTCAACTAAAATACTATACTCTTTAGTATCAGGGCTGTAACTTCATTGGCTGATTTCAGAAAAATCATAGCTGGACTTGATTTAATTTTCTATTACCACCAAGCCTGAGAGATAAAAAGTATGCTACAGACTACTATTATGTTTTTCATGTAATGCTCTATACTATAGAATAGACGAACCTGAGATCCCTCTTTGGTGTCATAATGAACACCTCTTTCTTGTTACTGTATCTGGAATTTTCCAAGTATCCTTTATGAGAAGTTCCTTTTTATATTTACATTGTCAAAGTAATGTAAGAATACAACACATTTTCTATCCTTTTTGGCACTAGCTTTGTTCAGGTCGGAGGACTGGCTGCTAACAATTTCACAAGTGACAATGATAGTCTTGAACACGAGAATATAATTTTTCTCATTCATTGTTCTTTTCTATATACAAAGGAAGACATATATAGGTTGATTACAATTTGGACAACTAAGGAAATTGATTCTATACAATATTTCATTTTAATTCATTTCTTATAATATTGGCTGATTTGATACTGATTGTGAATCCCTTAATTATGATACTAATTCATTTTCTTAATTTGATATTGATTTGATACTAATTCATTTCCTTAATTATGGGATTATAAATCCCTTAATTATGGGATTATAAATCCCTTAATTATGGGATTTAGGATCCTATAATCATCGGATTTTTTACACTCCCCCTCAAGCTGGCTCGAAGATGTCAATTATTCCTAGCTTGCTAGTTAGATCCTCATAAGAAGATCTTTGAGGCCCTTTGGTAAGAATATATGCTAGTTGTTTCTCTATAGGAATGTAAGTTATGTAGGCAATTCCTTTTTCAATTTTTTGCTTTATGAAATGTTGATCTACTTCAACATGCTTTGTTCTATCATGGTGCATTGGATTATAAGCAATGTTGATGGCGGTCTTATTGTCACAATATAGTCTCATAGGAGTTTCTATGATATTACACATATTTGGATATAGGATGTATCGTACAAGATCTAATTCTTTTTCTAATGACAACAAGAACATTAAGATCTGAGGAAGGAATAGATTTACCTGTATTTATGCCTGGATCTGCTATCGGCTCAGACTCTTTGCAATACTCAGGAGGGTGAACATCGACCTTTTTTAGATTTCGCTGTCTTGAATACATATGAAGCTCAGGTGCAATCACAGTGATGTCTCCCCTTGCCAATAGCATATTGTGGCATTGGAGATTTGGGTTATGGTGTTGGAAATTTGGATTCATAATTATTAATAGGACTAGTTAGTTGTTGACTAGGTAGGTTTGGTAGAGTAAAAGTAGGATATGAACGTGACAAGAAAATAGGGATTGGTAGAGATAGTCCCCAAAAACAATCTTCTTGGGTAGAATTCTCTCTTTTGGGAATATGTTTGGTTTTCAAAGAATGTGACATCCATAGTGGCAAATATTTTTTTGATATAGGATCATAATATTTATAACCCTTTTGAGTCGGGGAGTAACTAATGAACGCACACTTTAATGCACGAGGTTCAAGTTTACTTCGATGATAGTTATGAATATGGACAAAAGCAATGCACCCGAATATTTTTGGTGGAAGAGAGTTAAACAGTTTCACATGTGGATAAATGGAGGATAAATAATCAAGGTGTTTGAAAATTAAATATTCTGGTAGGCATTTGATTAAATAAAAAATGAAGCAGTAAGATTGACATCTTCCAAAAGATATTTGGGAATATAAGTGGTAAATAAAAGAGAGCGTGCTACTTTAAGTAGGTGTCTATTTTTTCGTTCTGTCATATTATTTTGTTGGGGGCTATCAACACATGAAGACTGGTGGATTATTCAATGCTCTAGCAAGTAGGAACCAAGAATGATATTAAAGTATTCTCTATCATTGTCAGTTCTCAGAACTTATATTTTTTCTTGGAATTGATTTTGGATCATGGTATGAAAGTTCTCGAAAGTTTTCTCTACATCAAAATTTTCTTTTAAGATGTAAACCCACCATACTCTTCTATGGTCATCAATAAATATTATAAACCACTTGGTCCCAGATAAATTTGTCACTTTAGAAGGAGCCCAAATGTCACTATGTATAAGATTAAATGGTTTAAATTCTTTCTAAGGACGAGTAGGAAAAACAGTGTGATGGTGTTTAGCAAATTGACAAATTCCACATTGAAATAGAGAACTATTATTGTTTTTGAACAATAAAGGTAAAAACTTTTGTAAATAAGGAAAGCTCGGGTGGCCTAGTCTATAGTGCCACAACATTATTTCACTACTAGCATGAGTGCTACTATGTACTGTCAACTGAGCTTGTCCATTCCAAGTAGCGTCATCTTCAAGATAATAAAGTCCTTCACTCGCTTTATCACTGCCAATCGTCTTCCCCGAATACAGGTCCCAAAAATCACAGTGAGAAGGAAAGAATTTAGCAAAACAACGCAAATCCTTTGTGAGTTTGCTAATAGACAAAAAGTTCAAGAGAAGTTGGGAACATGAAGCACATAATTTAATACAAAGGAATCTGAAATTGCAATCGTGTCTTTTCCTACTATAGAAGAAAGTGATCTATCGTCAACTTTTATTTTAGAGTTTCCAGGACAAGGTGTGTAAGAGGAAAACAAGTGTGGAAGACTAGTCATATGGTCTGTTGCACCTGAATCTATGATCCAAGGAGCCTTAAGACCAAAAGAAGCAGACAAAGCTGTGAAACAATTACCTTTCTTGGCCAAAGAGCAAGATAGTTTTGGGATTGGTTCAGAAACTTAAATAGTTTCTCAATTTGTTCCTTACTAAACAAAGGCGTTTCGGCTCCTTTAGAGGTGGTGGCAGATTGATTGTCTACTTGAAATCCTTGGTCATTAACCTCATCTGGAATTCGATTGTTCTTTTAGTTTGCTGATTTTCTATGCATCTTCTAGCAAGTTTCTCGTGTGTTTCTCGGTTTATTGCAAAAATCACACCATACTTTGCTATTAGCATCCCCGTTCCTTTGATTACATTGCAGAACATTAGCAGAAGAATTAATTTCAGCTGTTATAATAAGTGCAGAGGTTTTTGCAACCATAGATGGAATGGTATATCTCATCATGACTTGTCTTCTACTTTCCTTTCTCCTAACTTCGAAGAATATAGCTTAGAGAGATGATAATGGATCATTTCCTAATATCTGTCCACGAACTGCATTTAGTTCTTTGTTTAAACGTGCCAAAAATTGAAAGGCCTGATCCCTCTCAAGCATTTTGATGTATTGAGCACTATCAGCAACACAACCACTCAAAATCATAAAAAATTTCAAGCTCTTGCTAGAGTGTTTTCAAGGTATTAGAGTATTTTGTAACACTAGTACTACCTTATTTAAGCCCTTTGATCTTGTTTGTAATCTCAAATAATTGAGCTAAATTCCTCATATTTGAATATGTCTCGATTGCAGCATCCTATATAACTCCTTTGCTGTTGGTAAAAACATATATGTTTGGCCAAATTCTGGTTCCATAGAGTTTATCAATCATGATATGATCATGGAATTTTTAGAATCCCATACTTCGAACTTGGGATCCATCCTCTGCAGGTGTCGTTGTTGATTCGATCAAATAGTTGATCTTTTCTTTTCCTCGAATATACAGCTTTACGAACTAAGACCAATGAAGAACGTTCTGTCCGCTGAGTTTATGCATTGTAATCAGCAATGATGGATTGTCGCCTAAGCTGTTTGTTGGTGATGGAAGTATTGATTTCATCTTCTCTCCTCGAGACATAGTAGCGTAGGTTCCTCATGAGCAAACAAGGAAGAAGAAATAGTTGGGGCTGATCCAGAGAGTGGTAGAATAGAGGAAAAGATTTTCAGCAATTAAGGCTGAAAGAAAGAAATTTGTTTCCTATAGGAACCAAGCTCTGATACCATGAACACAAGATAATATAATTATTCGTATTCATTAATCTTTTCTGTATACAAAGGAAGACATATATAGGCTGATTACAACCTGTACAACTAACGAAATTGATTTTATTGATCATGGTTTGCCTTACCAGTCAGTATCAATATATTGACCAATCATCGGTATGATATGTGCTGACATACCGACACATGATATGGTGGAGTGTACCGGTAGACTAATATGTACCACCCAAACACATGATATGGTGGAGTGTACTGGTAGACTAATATGTATCGCCCATATCGATTTCCTGTTGGACCAATATGTATCGTCCATACAGGGCGATATGCTTCGGTACGATGAACCTTGCTTGCTATTGATTTTATATAATATTTCATTCTAATTCATTTCCTATAATATTATATAATATTTCAATATAATATTTGATATTGATCGAGAATCCTTTAATTGTGATACTAACATATTTCCTTAATTTGATACTAATTAATTTGATGTTGATTTGACATTAATTCATTTTCTCAATTATGGGATTCAGAATCTTTTAATTATGAGATTTTTCACAAGTATTAATTGGCCTACAAATGAGAACATATACATTTTTTAATTAAATGCAGAAATCTAGTGTGATGTTGTGTTATGGTCTAAAATACTTCTACTCGGGCAAAACTGTGAGAGAAGCATATTTTTAGGCTGTTAAGAGTAGGAGGAACATTTTCTCAGGCTGCCAGCATTTTTTGAACGTTGTATTACTTTATATTCTTGTTCTGACTTGGTCGGCACACGGAAGCCGATTATAGTGTTATGGTTCAGTTACTTCTTCCCATGGAACTGTGCCAAGTACTGAGATATGGTTGACTTATTGGTTCGTTCTGTTATTTAATTTTGTTACTTTTCCTTTTGCAGCAATTCCTGAAAGAGATACTAAATGATCTTTGCGTCTATAATAAGAGAGGACCAAATCAAGGAACCCATGAACTGAAGCCAGAATACAAGAAATCCACAGAAGAACTGGACAATATGTGAAGTTCCATTGCTGCTTCCAGCAAATTTCTTCTCCTGATGGCTCTAAATTTATAACTCTTTTATTGGAGGAGCATATAGACATACTTTGGGCTTGTTGATGTATTGGGTCCATTTCCCAAGTCACTGTTGATCAATATTCATTCATTGTGACATTAAAACAGGATACCACTTTTTAATCAGGCATTGCTGGATGATTTCCTACCATTTTTGAAGTGATATTGTATCATCTCTCTCTCTCTCTCTCTCTCTCTCTCTCTCACACACACACACACACACAAATATATGGAGATGAAACCGCTCAGTCATGTCAGTTAATGATATTTTATTTTTTTTTTTAGAAAAACTACTGCAAGTTGTAATTGCCAGTGCTCATAGTGAAATATTATGTGTATAACCGGTAACTTGAAGTATATATCTTCTTCAGTAAATATAACGGCTCTTTTGTAGTAATTACAATTGTTTTGTGTAGTAATTGCTTCTTGTATTATTGACCGTGTCATCTGTTGTTACAACTAAATCCAGAGCTGCAAGAAGCAATGGTGATATGAGAGCCACGGAGCATGGGCTTCTTTCATCTATGACCCAACTTTTGTAGATGTGACTTCAACCTTTTATACATCGTCTTTAAATATAATATAATACATCCTTGTGCGGCGCCTCCTATATTTGCACGTACTCATGCCTTCTACGTACCAATTTGTAGATGCAGTTGGGACATCCTATTTATTTTTGGTATCCTGTGCCCGGGATTCGCTGCCCGATTCACCGTAGCGAGGTAAGATACACTGATAGAAATGGATGATCGCTGTTGATCCGATGCAGCACCCCGAACCCTAACCCTCCCCCCTCCTTCCCCTTCGAGGAAGAGGAAAAGGCAGCAGCTGGACGTGTATATATATACTTTTTATATGCACGCGCAGAGGTCGTCCAAGGAAGCTCCTCAGCATGGTCCTGAACACTCCTTCTCCACCCAAAACAGAGGTGGATGCAACCACGGCGACGCCAGGGCCACCCGGGACGCCGTTGGTTTTCGACGCTGCTTTCCATAGCCAGCAGGCCGACATCCCCAAGCAGTTCGTCTGGCCCGAAGATGAGACGCCGACTCCCGACGCCGACGAAGAACTCGTCGTCCCCATGATCGACCTCGGCGGGGTCATGTTCGGCGACCCCGCCGCTGCTGCCATGATCACCAGGTCCATTGCGGACGCGTGCCAGCAGCACGGGTTCTTCCAGGTCATCAACCACGGCATCGATGCCGGGCTCCTGGCGGAGGCCCTCCGCTGGGCGGAGGCCTTCTTCGTGATGCCGCTCGCCGAGAAGCAAAGGGCGCAGAGGCGGACGGGCGAGAGCTTCGGCTACGCCAGCAGCTTCACCGGGAGGTTCACCGACAGGCTGCCATGGAAGGAGACCTTCACGTTCCGCTTCTCGCCTTCGCCGCTTGCCGGCGACATCGTACAGGACTACGTCGTCCGCACCCTCGGGGAAGACTTCCGTCACTTCGGGTAAGCGATCGGCAATGAATGGACTACGATCGAGCAGGTCAAACAGGATTCATGGTGATGAAAACGCGTCTCGCTAACTCGATGCTTCATGGTTGGATGACAGGGAGGTGTACCAGCGTTACTGCGATGCGATGAGCAACCTGTCGCTGCAGATAATGGAGGTGATTGGGCTGAGCCTGGGGATGGGGCGGGCGCACTTCCGTGACTTCTTCGGGGACAACGACTCGATAATGCGGCTGAACTACTACCCGAGGTGCCAGAAGCCGGAACTCACGCTCGGCACCGGCCCCCATTACGACCCCACCTCGCTGACCATCCTCCTCCAGGACGACGTCCAAGGCATGCAGGTCTTCGCCGACGGCAAATGGCGGACCATCAGCCCCAAGCCCAATGCTTTCGTCGTCAACATCGGCGACACCTTCATGGTAAGGCCTAGCGAGCCTCCCTCCCACTACACCAACGCAAGGGCACTAACGAGCTGCGGTACTGCGTGCAGGCGTTGTCGAACGGGAGGTACAAGAGTTGTCTGCACAGGGCAGTGGTGAACAGCAAGGTGGCGCGGAAGTCGCTGGCCTTCTTCATGTGCCCGGCCACCGACAAGGTGGTGCGACCGCCGCCGGAGCTGGTGGACGCCGACCATCCCAGGGCGTACCCAGACTTCACATGGCCCGAGCTGTTCCAGTTCACCCAGAAGCATCATCGACCTGACATGAACACACTCGACGCCTTCACGAGTTGGATTGCCGCTGCGGTGCCACAGTGAAGAGAAAGATGCGACAGGAGTATAAATAAATAAATAAATAAAATTTCCTCTTCGGTTTCGATGAATTATAATCTTTTTTATTTCATATATATATATATATATATATATATATATATATATATATATATATATATAGAGAGAGAGAGAGAGAGAGAGAGAGTGAGAGAACTTTAGACGTCTGATGTATTTCATGAAGAGAATCTTCGGAAGAATCGACATGTATTCCATGCAGCAATATAAAAGCACACCTTCTCTCGGTGAATATCGAGAGTATCTGTCGACTGAGTTGGATGAGGAGATCAATCGGCCCCTGGGGTATTGATCAGCATTCCTTGTGTCGATCTGGGCGTCGTGTATTTCGAGCTACATCTCTCCTTCTCTAGGGTGGCTGGCAGCTCGCCTTTGTGGGGTGGCCGGATTTTCCTGTAAAAATGGCCCTCATCTGGATCACCCGACGAGGCCCCTCCGACGAGCAAGTTAGTGGAGTGATCAATTGATCTTTCGCGCCACCCCCCTCGGTTGCCAGATGCTGGCTAGAGGTCTTTATAGTACTGCACGTGAGTCGGTCGTATGTGGGTTGGTGTGGTAGACATGCCAAATAGTGCCTTGGTACGAATTCTGACTTGGCGTGTCTCGGGAGCGGCTTTGCCTCGGATTCCCAAGATATGACGTGCTGAGCAGTGTCCTGGTACAGATTCTGATTGTGGTCGATGGCATCGGACTCTGACGTGTCTTGGGCCAAAATATACCGTATCACTTCCCCCCCCCCCCCCCCCCTTCCAAGGCGTGCGGAAGGGTCGGGAGGCATGCATGGGTCCCGAATGACGCGATTGTGTTGGCTACTCATGCGGGGAAGCCGGATTGATACGTCGGGGGATGATTTAGAGGGGCGGTGCCCCGTGATTCGAGCAAGACTGATCCTGCTGATCGATCGGGTGGGGGCCTGGTGAGGCGAAACTAAAGCGTTGAAACCGGCGAGGCGAGACCTGCGCGACGAGGTTGGATTGACTCGTCGGGGGCGTTTTAGAGGGGCGGTGCCCCGTGATTCGGGTAGGACTGATCCTGCTGATTGATCGATGGGGACCTGGTGAGGCGAAACTAAAGCGTCGAAACCGGCGAGGCGAGACCTGCACGGCGAGGTTGGATTGACTCGTCGGGGGCGGTGCCCCGTGATTCGGGCAGGACTGACCTTGTTGATCGATCGGTGGGGACCTGGTGAGGCGAAACTAAAGCGTCGAAATCGACGAGGCGAGACCTGCGCAGCGAGGTTGGATTGACTCGTCGGGGGCATTTTAGAGGGGCGGTGCCCTGTGATTCGAGCAGGACTGACCCTGCCGATTGAACGGTAGGGACTTTGTGAGGCGAAACCGACGTGTCGTAGGTCGGATAACGGGTTTGGCAAGCCCGGAGTTACAGTTGCCGAGATGCGACTGAGGTGTGTCTCGGGCGTTGGATTGGCCAAGGTGCGCTGAGGCGTGGCTCAAGCGTTGGATTGGCCGAGGTGCATTGAGGCGCGGACGCTGAATTTGGTCGAGATGCGACTCGGGCGTTCGATTTGGCCGAGATGAGTGGCTCGGATGCTGGATTTGGCCGAGATGCAACTCGGGTATTGGATTTGCCGAGATGCGTGGCTCGGACGTTGGATTTGGCCGAGATGCCACTCAGGTATTGGATTTGTCGAGACGCATGGCTCGGAAGCTGGATTTGGCCGAGATGCGACTCGGGTATTGGATTTGCCCAAGATGCAACTCGGGCATCGAATCAATCGCGAGGTGTGACTCGGGTGTTAGGTCGCCTGTCGAGAGCGATCAAGAGTGATTCGGGCAAGAGCTAGACCTGCGGGCCGAGGGACTATGCTCGTGCTTAGGTTTTGGTGCCGGTGGGTCACCTGGCGAGAGCGATCTGGGGCGACTTGGGCAAGGATTTGGACTTGTGGGCCAAGTGACTGACCTCGGGCTTAGGTTTGGTGCCGACGAGTCACAAGTCGGGGATTGATCTGGAGTGACTCGGGTAAGAAGCTGAGCTAACGAGTCGCAAGTCGGGGATTGACATGGAGTGACTCGAGCGAGAAGCTGAGCCGACGGGTCACAAGTCGGGGATTGACATGGAGTGACTCGGGCGAGAAGCTGAGCCGACGAGTCACAAATCGGGGATTGACATGGAGCGACTCGCGCGAGAAACTGGGCCGGCGAGTCACAAGTCGAGGATTGACATGGAGCGACTCGGGCAAGAAGCTGAGCCAGCGAGTCACAAGTCGGGGATTGACATTGAGTGACTCGGGCAAAAAGCTGAGCTGACGAGTCACAAGTCAGGGATTGACATGGAGT